TCCATGGTGCCACACCATAGTGATATTCTACAGAGGTACTCCCTGGCGGTACTCCATGGTGCTACACCACAGTGATACTCTACAGAGGTACTCCCCAGTGGTACTCCATGGTGGTTCTCCACAGTAGTACTCCACAACAGAATCCCACAGAGTTATTCCACAGAGGTAGATAGTTACAATGGCTGTAATGCTAACTGACCCTGATTCTCCTGTGTGCCTAGCACTGTTCTAAGCATCTTACCTGTATTAACCTCTGTAATCCTCACAGCAATCCTTTAAGTCAGATCCAGGTATTAGCCCAGTTTATAGATGGGAAAACTGAGGTACACAGAGGCAAACTCACCTGTGCAAGGTCCCACAGAGGCAGGATTCAAACCTGGTGGTCTGACTTCCAAACCTGGGCTCTCACTCATGTTGCCAGACTCTCCCTCTCTAGGAAGATTTTGCAACCTGCACCATCTACCCTCAACACACAGAGCCCTGCCAACCAAATTCCACTGTCCCCTCTTTTTCAACCACACCTCAGATTCACAACTGCAGCACTAGACCTTGTAGCTTGGGAGAGGCTGGAGGACAAGGCAGCCTGTTAAAATCCCCCCCTCGCTAGAGGCTTTCTGCCTTGAAAATTGATTTTAAAAGCCCAGAGAATGAGGAGGTTTTTAAAAGGCCCTGACCTCTGGCTGCCGAGACTGCCGCGGAGGGCTGCCAAGCGGTCTTTCCCTCTTTCTGGGAGAGACAGACCTCAGGGCCAACGCTCATTTTTGGCCAGAGGCTGCTGGCACAAAGGGTGCTGTTGGCTGAAAAGAGTCTTTATGGAGTTCTGGTCTTGAACAGAACAGCATGTTTCAATTACCAAAGTCATAACCCCCTACACTGTCAGTTTGTTTAATGAAAGAAGGGCTTCTTAAACCTTAATGTGCCATGTCTGTATTGTCATTTTAATAGGCAAATATATGAAACCACAAAGGCAACGTGAGCTACTGGCTGCCTCTAGCCAACCCTCAACCCTCAACCCCCAACACACACACACACACACACACACACACACACACACACACACATTCACTTTGGCCTTGAGCTTTTTATACGGTTCTTTTTAACACAGCCATCTTTTACTACCGGGACCAGAAGGATGTGAATAGGTAAGCAATCAGCCAGAGCGACCTCACTGAGCCGGGAGAGGACTCAGCTCTGGTGCTATTTCAGTGGGGTCCTACTTAGGCTCAGGGACTACAGACCACTTCACCACCCAGGAGACTGTGTGGCTGCCTTTGAGGCCGACGGTGAGGCAGGTCATTATTCTCCAGCAAGCTCAAATGTCAGCTGTGTGGCAGCCAGGAGGGAGGCAGACCTCTGAACTCTAAAAGACACCAACAGTTACAGCTAAAATAGTAAAGGTGGCTCTTGCTGAGAGGAGACCAAGAGTGGGATCCTGGGGTAAGCTGGGAAGGACTGAGAGGGATTATTCTGAAAACCTTCAACAAAGTCCTACTGATGGCTCCCTAAAGGCCCAGTGGCAGCGTCACTTTTGCTGGGGCACCTCCCCTCCACACTGCCTCTGGGCAAGGTTGTCCCCTGCCTGCACTAGACCATGAACAGCTCTAAGCCAGGCACCGTGTCCTGTTCATCCTATTAATAACAACAAAAAGCTAACACTCCTTGAGTGAACTTGTATGTCAAGCATGGGGCTTCACGAATATCAACTCACTCGATCCTTGCAGCAACCCTGGGCGATAGGTTGTGTTACTGACCCCACTTGACAGATGAGGACACTGAGGCATAGAGAGTTGAAGTAACTTGAGCAAAGTCACACAAATTCTCAGAGTGAAGGCAGAACTCAAACCCGCTGTCCAGCTCCTGAGCACGTACCTTTAGCCCCTGCTAAGCTGGCCACACTGTCAAGTGCATTCAGATGAATGCTATGAAGAACTGGCTACTCTTAACACTTGCTCACGCTGGGTGTTACCTTGAACATACACTCAGGAACCCCAGATGCAAAGGCAAAGGCAAAGCCAGAGCCAGCCTGCCACCAGTAACATAAGGACTGTCCCAGCACACCTGGGCTCAGTCTGTCTCTAGCCCAATAAGACCCCAGAGAGGCGCTGATGCCTGCGTGCTGGCACACATAAGATTTGCACAGGGGTAGCTGGTCCTGGGACTCAGTCCAGACCCCCTTCAAGTCACATTCTTTGCTGTTCTTCCTCCAGTTCTCAGATTCTTTGCTCTGTACTTTGGCTTCCCCAGTCCAGTAAAGATTCAATTGGTAAACCAAACAAAACAGACATAGGCCCTCAAACGCTGAATTCATGGTGGGGAAACACTACTTCGACCCCACCATGAACAAGCCCCCTGGTGCCACCCATCTGGCCCGACCCACTCTTCACCTCACTGGAAGCCAGGAACCAAACAGTGGTTGACGTAACACATCTACAAACTCTCAATGAGCTGGCAGAGTGGCTGGGCCTTGGGACATGGCTGTTTACACTAGCAGGGAACAATGACCCGCCAACACTGATGAATAATTTGAAACAAATGCAAGGCCATGTAAACATTTCTTTTCCCCACTCCCAAATGATAAAGCCCCAAGATTAAGCAGGAGGGAAGAGGGGGCTGCCCCCTCTGTACTCTTTTTCCACTGTGGTCCATACACAGGCCTCCCTGCGCCCAAGTTGGGCAGGAAATCATGGTTGCAGAATCCCTTTGGGTAGCCTGTGGCAGTTATCTAGGAGCTGGATTAAGGGCCTGAGGCCCCACGTCACACCCTCACACCCCCATGTCCTGAGCCCTTCAAACGGGACCCACAGTGAGGTGTGAAGAGTGACCAACTGGAGCATTGGGTCCGTGAGACGGCTGTTCACCGGCCTAGGACAGACTGGGTTCACCTGGGGGCCCTCACCAGGCCCAGCAGAGGCCCTTGGCTCTCCTGAAGGGGGCAAGCCCAGGACACACTGCTCCTTGGTCCCCCAGGCCTTGGCACATTCTGTTATGAGAGGTGCCCCATGGCCAGGAGGGAGCCTATACCTGGGAGTCAGACAACCTGAGTTCTGCCCCTGACCTGTGGCCTGTGGGAGGTTCCCAGGCTTCATCCCCAGGAGGGACTGCAGACTGTGTCCTCCAGGAAGCCCTCCTGGGGTGCTGAGGCACACACAGTCCTCTTCCTTCTCTCCCAGGGAACTGACTGTTCCATGTACTGATGGGCCACTGTGTGGGAATCCCACCCCACCACCCACGTCCCCCCAGAGATGAGCATCCAGGTTGGCAGGGAGGGGCTGGCAGCCTTATTATCATAAATAACAGCACTTTCTGCTGGCTGGGCCCTGGTTTGGCACTCTCAGGCACTATCTTAATAAATCTGCACAACAGCTCCACACAGGGGGCATTATCCTTATCATCCTGATTCTCAGATGAGAAAACTGAGGACCAGAGAGGGAAGAGACTTGCCCAAGGCTATAAAACAGGCGGAGGGGGGATTTGAAGCCCAATGAGCCTGTGTCCAAAGCCCTTACTCTGCTCTTCCGTGATTCAGCTTCTCTGAACGAGGACGCTTCGGGCCTGATCGTGGCAGTGAGAGTAAATTCCTTGGATATTTATGCTTACAAACCTCCCCGGAACCCACACGCTCATGTCTCCAAACCCTGGCGCAGAAGCTCCCTCTGCTCCAAAGTCCTCCTGGTGCCCAGCAGAATTTGCTTGCCCCTGGCTCCCAGACCAGGTGTACCTTTGCTCACGACTTCCTTCCCCTGCCCTGGACCTTGGGCTTGGTCATGCTGTCTCTGCTCTGAGCTGAGGACAGACCTGAGTCTCTTCTATATCCTTGTAGAGGGTCAGGCTGAGTGTGTGCTCAGGTGTCAGCAAGATAAACTGAATAGCACACATGTGCTTGCACATGCCAGAGACAGGGAGCTCACTACCATACAAGGCCAGTCTACTGGAGCAGAGCACTGTCCTGGTTCCTACTGGGAATGCAGAGAGGGCTCATTCAAGGTTCCCCATAGCCTGCCCACCTTCCAGTAGCCCCCCCTATTTCTGCTGTTCTCTGAACACACCCTCTCATACACACTTGACTTCATACACACACATGCATCTCCTCTTGGGACACCCTCTGCCTCCTTGTCCAGGCAGAAGATCTTCTTGCCTTTGAAATCCACCAGAAACCTTTCTGTTCACTCATTCCCTCCACAAACACTGGGCAACTACCATGTGCCACACTCTCTGGGAGTTGCCAGGGGCACTGAAGTGAACACCACTAGTTAAGTCCCTGCTCACTGGGCTGCTGATGTATCGGACCCGAGCACTGGGAGGCTTTGTGGAGGAGGCGATGTGGGAGCCGGGGCGAGGAGAGTGGGGAGATTGGTGACCTGAGGCTGGAGGATGAGGAGGAGGTGTTCTGGAAGCAAATTCTTGTGGAAGGGGCAGGGCGGGGTATAGATGGGGAAGGGCCTGTGACCACTTGGGCAGGAGAGGAGTTCTGGAAGCTTTGTGGCCTGTACATCCCCCCTCAAGAAGATCCCATCAGGGCTCTCACAAACCGTGGCCCCCATTGCCACCAGTCCTGCTGGCAGACGGGACAGTCCTTGGGGAAGATGTCTG